GGTCAGTTTGAATGAAGGGTTTGTCCATGGGGTCATGGATCTCTTGAGTTCCAACAGCTAAAAAAGCAATTAAAAAATTATGAGACGAGAGTTTCTTCAAAATAAAAATAAAATACTTCATCCTGAAGAGAAATTAATCCAATACTTTCTTTCTTGTCACTAGTTCCAAAGGTTTTGGGCTGGTTGAATGAATTCTCTTTGGGACAAGTTTTTGACTTATATAATCCTTCTACCAAATTTTGATTAACATGATAGAAAGTTAAAATCATAGATTAATCAAGCAAGAGCATTAGATCAAAGATCCATCAAAACGAGATTAGAACCTATGTCCTGTACTGCATGTGCTTCCTGGGCAGTTTGAATTAAGGGTTTTTCGGTAGTCTCGTTCATCTCTGGAGTCAAAAAGCCAAACAAATAAGCTTAGAAAATATTTGGCAAACAAAACAACGCAAGGTATTGTAAAGGAAAAAAAAAGAAGAATGCTTCTAAAATTTAAAAGACGAGAGGTCATTTGAGGCCCTTTTCTCCGGTATATTTGAGTTGGCACAATATAAGGTTGTGGTAGTTAATTAAGCAAAAGAATACTGAATTAAAACAAATGCAAGGACATACATGAGGCCTGGGTGAACGAACTCATAAGATGCCAAATTTCCAAGTCATGTGATTCTTTCAAAAGATTTCTCACACGATAAGAAGTTAGAAACATTAATTATGAAAATGAGTACTACAACAAGGGCAACCCATGGATCCTGAAATGCAGTAGAAATTGGTGCCTTTAATAGTTATAACTTATAACCAGTGGTCTTCTGGTGACCTTGCATATATATCTGTTGAGTCTAATACTAAGTGAATAAATAAAAAATACTAATACTATAATACGAATTATTTGACATGAGGTTTTAACAAAATAAAAATAATTTCCTTCCCCCTAACAAGAGCGATAACAATGGTGGTGAAGATCTGATTAAGAAAATTCTCAGAAATGGGAAATTTTAAGTTAGTGATTCTTCTGTAGTTGATTTTATTTCCCATGATAGCAAGTAAGGATAATTTCTCCAAATGAACTATGCCTATATGATGAGTGCAATAAAAATGTGTGGTCGAACTTTCTGCAGAAGAAAGAAGGTCATGGAATGTACCAAAGCAGAGTGATGATATTTCAATTACAGTATAGGTATTGTGGTCCGGATGATCAAATTTTAACGTGGACGAATTTTAAAATCTCGTAATTCCTCTAATGTATTTCAATTCGCATAAAAGAAAGTCAGAAAAAATTAATAAGCCAAGTACTATAATGGACATGCATTACCCTATAAGAAGCAATTTGGATAATCTGTCACATGTTAAAATAATATCAGTACCTGCATCACAAACTCCTGTGGGGCTAAGAGCACTTTTAGCAGCTTCAACCAATGGCCTTTCAATGTTCTCACCCATCTCTTCAGTCCCCTCAGTTAAACCTGTTAGTTTTAAAAAATTGAGAGTAAATAGAATGATATAACATTTTAACAAAATAAAAAATATCTTACATCTAAACACTCTGAAGAAAAACAAAACCAAAAGAAGAGGAAGAAAGAAGAACATTACTTTCTTTATTGTTGACAGTTGTGGCTTGCTCGAATACATTCTTGCTAGATTGAGTCCTTGAGTCTTGTGATTTTTCTATTAGTTTACAATTCCCATAATAGCATATTAGAATCAATAATTAATTTTTAAAAAAAACGGAGAGCTTTGTTTCAAGGAGCCTAAACAAAGCTCCTCTCATATTAGTGAGAAATTTAATGTAGAATGGCGTGAGGTTGTAGATAAAATAATTAATAAATTCCTTCCTTCTTACACGTGAAAGAAATTATTTATGTATGTTCTCTGTGGCTAATACTAAAGGTGGTCATTTAATCAAACGATTTGGCATCTACAGAAGTTTTCTAGTAGTGTCAATTATTTTTAGATGATTTCGGATTATAAAAATCAGAATGCGAAGTATCTCACCCAAAAAAAAAAAAAATTAATCAAGCCAATGAATATGATAACAAAGCGTCACTAAGCACTCTATTGAACAAAAGGAATCAGTAATTAAATATACCAAAGGATAGTGATAGTGATAAATAGCTAAGACACTCAAACCTGTAAAAGAAATTAAGGCCAAAGTCAAAGAAACATGTGATTATTTATGGCAAATAGCAGAATGCAAGGCAATCTCAATACCTTTTTCTTCATTTGTAGAAGGACTGGAGGCAATTTGAGTAACCGGAGCCAAAGGCCTCTCCGTACCTGACGAGGCTTGCTCATTCAGCTCTTTGTCATAAGATTGACTTGGAAGTTTGTGTGTTTCTCGCTTCCCAGTGTTTGCAATTTGATTAGGCTTCCATTGTCCTACTTGCTCCCCAGAGCTTGATGCTGTGGTAGTACTGGCGCTCATTTGATGAGTTTGACTACTTTTGGTAATATCACTTGAAGATTCCTTATAGTTCCCTTCATCTCCTTCTTGAGTTGCCTGATTAAGATAGGCACACAAGATGACCTCAACGCACATTTAGATTCAAATTTGTACCCATATTTAAGTTTTCATTTGACTGTGTCTAAGTTTTACATATTTTTTCACTCAATCATATGTTGCTGCAGCAAAATATTGTCTAAATTTAGTTCTTTAGATTTTACAAATGGAGCTTGAGACACATACATGATATTACAGAAGTGTCAATCATCTCAGAATTTATTTTGTAGCATACATACCTCTGTGAACAAATGGTGGATAGTGGTGTTAAGGTCTTCTTTCCAGCGTCTTTTCTCATTTTCCACTGTCACTGATTTTAGAAATGGGGCAATAATGATTCCAGATGAGAAATTTTGCATTATGGGGCATCCTGTCACTTCCAATGTCACCAAAGAGGAGAATATGAAGGTGTATTTCCCAGAGCAAAAGCTTTTGAAACGTGATAGACAAGTTAGTTCCAAATGCTGCAAGCTTTCAAATATGATTTCTTCTTCTGATCCTCCTTCACCAGTCATCACAACCTCCTCTAGCATCCCACAATTGTTAGCTGTTAAGCTTGTGAGGCAGACAAGACTTTTAGCCGTGAAAGGTGTCATGAAGTACATCAAGCCATAGCAATCCTCTACTTTCAAGGTGGTTAAACTTGCGAAAGATGTCGAAGGTGGTGCTAGTGTTCTTAACTTAGAACATTCCCAAATACGAAGGTCTTCAAGGTTTTGAACTAGTGGATGTGATGCTGAGTCGTCATCAGTCCATATGTGCTTAAGTTTCTCCAATTGATATAGCCACAACGTTTTAATTTGGGTGGGGATTTCAATACAACAATGATCAATTTCTTCTGAATGAAAAAGTGTTTCAAAAGAACTGCAACGTGCTTGAAGGTCGGTTATAGCTGGAAATATTTGGATCAAATCATTCAGAAACTTTATTGGAGTTTCTTGAAAATATTGCAAACGAAGCATTTTGATGCTCTGAAATAGATTTTTCTCATATTTGCCATTCAATATCCATATAGTGTCCTTTTCATTTAATGGCAACTCTTCCAAATTTTGAGACACCTGAAAAAGAGAAAATATAATTTGCTTCTTCCATCATATAATCTACTAAGAAGATAACATAAAACATTTTTTTATACTTTTACAAACCACATATATAATTATAGTTTTCCTCAACCATGCATCTTTTTGTCTAGAGAAAAAAATGTAATTAAAGAAAGACACAAGAAATTAAAAAAAAAAAAAGGATGCATACCTTTTCAATATAAAACAAAGCTTGTTCGATTTGCGACTCATTGTCACCCTCCCTAAGCAGTTGGGAATTCAAATGGTCAAATGCAAATATTTGCAATTTTTCACATCCACGAACATTTAACCACTTCAATGAAGGACACTCTAGAGTATATCTTTTAGGATAGAAATTAGTGAGCTGTGTCAGATTCAATAACCTCAAGATTGTTAAACGAGGAAAATCAAACTTGAGTCCCTCTAATCCTTCTGCAATTGAAACAATTTCCTCAGCACCACAAGACTCAATGTGAAGCTCTTCAAGTCGCCTCAAATCTTGGCATAGTGAGACCGAAAACAAACATTTCAGGTGTTGGCATTTATCAACTTCCACAATCTGTAAATTTTCAAAGCTGATTACTTCTCCGGCTTCTCTGTTCCATATGCATTTCAATTTTGGAAGCCCAGAGAGTGTTAATTTCTTCAACCGACTGACTTCCTTTGATCCTATTGCTTTCTCATCCAATGCTTTTACATCAAATACCGCTTCTAATGAATCACACTCTGATACTTCCAGTTCCTCCAATGTATATAACAATCGCAGTAAATTTGATGAAAAAATCACGTTGGACAAGAATGTACATTTTCGCACCACTAGATGGTTCAAATTGCAGAATATATTTGGCCCATCTTGGCCATACCATAGTTCTTTCAGTTCTGGATATACAGAAAATTCCAAAAGACTGAAGCTACTAAATGCCACCTGTGCAAATAATTATCAAGGTAAGGAAAAACAAAGGGAAGGGAAAACATAATAAGGGCACCGAAGCAAATTAAACAATAAAATTTTGTTACTTTCAGTTAGTACAATTAATACTATTCAATCAAAGTATTAACTAACAATTATGTTGGCAAAAACAAAAATTATAAAAATATCCAAGTTAAACATAAACACAGCCTCATCTTTATTTTGTTAATGCTTTTACCGTAATGGCACCAATATATGATTCTGGATTACATAAGAAATTTGTATTTTTTTTAATTCATCTAAAACTTAAGATATATCCAAATAGATACACCAAGAAATAAGATGAGTGAATAATAAAGGCTAATAAAAGCTATACAATCATGAAAATAAATATTTACAATAAAAATTAAAGATATTTCCATAATCATTTTTCTTTATACATAAAAAATTGGCTTTTCTGACAGTTTGCTTATACCATTTTCTCATCGTATGTAAGGGGAATAAAGAATGATTTTTTAGTAAAATCAAAACATACCTTGTCCGCAAACATCTTGTTCATTGTCTTATTCAGATCACCTTCCCAATACACGTTTCCATCTTCTTCTTTTGATGATATCTTTCGAAGCTTTGGTGTGCTTGTGTCTCTCCCGGCTGAGAAGGTGTTCATTCTTGGGCATTGCTCAATGACAACTTTTTTTAACATCGGAAAGTTTAAGAAGTAATTGGAGGAGCAAAACCTCTTGATCATTGGCAAACACTTGAGCTCCAAAATTTCTAAGCTTCTGAATGCAATTTTATCTTCAGATCCCTCCCTCTCTTCTGCCACAACTTGCTCAAGTGAATTGCACTTCTTTATTTTCATTGTTGTTAATTTGACCAGGCTTCTTGCAGTTGAGGAGGTAATTAAGTGAAGCAATCCATTGCAATTTCCCACCTTCAAATCTGTCAGGTGATGGAAAGTTACAGAGGACGGCGCTAAGTGTTTCAAATTGGAACAATTATAGACCTGTAAGTCTTCAAGAACCTCTAGGACAGGATCTATTCGAAATCCTTCTTTGCATATACGCTGGAGATCATCCAACTGACTGAGTGTCAATGCTTTAAGTCGTGCTCCAGTTTTAGATTTTCCTTTGTCATCTATAGGTATTTCTTCTTGGAATATCTCCCTGAAAGAACTCCATTCAACAAGTAGATCATTGACAGTGGTTATGTTTTGGAGAACCCAATAGGGAAAAGTGGCATCATCATCTTTGTAGAAATATGATATGATTTGATATGATTTGATATGTAAATATTATGTAATTATGATTAGGATATGATATTATCATAATGAGCCATTAATGCAGAGGCTCCTCTCACTTGTATATATATGTGTATACTCTGATCAATGAAATACAAGAGAATTATTTTCCATATTATTCTATTTCCTACATGGTATCAGAGCGTGGGAATTTTCTTTCTGGGTGTTAATTTTCGGTTGCTACAGTACCGCCGCCGCACTGTTCACTCGGCGTCCGTACATTGTCCGTACAGTCCGTACGCCTGCACTGTTCATCGACTTTTCCGGCGCACTGCACTGTTCACTCGGCGTCCGTACAGTCCGTACGCTCTGCACTGTTCATCGACTTTTCCGGCGCTCTGCACTGCTCACTCGGCGTCCGTACAGTCCGTACGGTTTATTACTTTCTGGCGTTCTGTTTCGTTTCTGGCGCATCTCCGGCACGCTGTTTGTGCAATTCAGTTCTGTTTGCAGCTCCCTGTGTAGCTGTTGGCCTTTTCACTGCCTTGGTATTCATTAGGTAATCCAGGTATCGTGCTTTGTGTTCCTGTGTAACACTCTTTCGCATTCCCTTTGGTTAGTGCACTTCATCTATGGCGGAAATTAAATCTGTCTCGGAGCTTGTCCCAACTATTACTAAAATTACTGATCACAAGTTGACTTGGGTAAATTATTTGGATTGGAGTAAAACCATTCGCCTCTATCTGCGGAGCATTGAGAAGGAAGACCATCTGACTGATGATCCTCCAACAACTGATTCCAAAAAGACCTGGTTGCGGGATGATGCACGGCTATTTTTCCAGATCCGTAATTCCATTGACAGTGAGATTATTCCCTCTATTAATCACTGTGAATTGGTTAAGGAACTAATGGATTATTTAGATTTTTTGTATTCAGGAAAAGGAAATATCTCTCGTGTTTACGAGGTCTGCAAAGCTTTCTATCGTTCTGAAAAACAGGATCGTCCTCTCAAAGCCTACTTTATGGACTTTAAAAGGATGTATGAAGAACTGAATGTGTTAATGCCTCTTACTGCTGATTTGAAGGTTCAGCATAAGCAACGGGAGCAAATGGCTATTATGAGCTTTCTTACTGGTCTCCCACCTGAGTACGACACAGTTCGGTCTCAAATCTTATCCGGATCTGAAATTTCTGACCTTCAAGATGTGTTTTCCAGAGTAATGAGAGCTGAGAATCTCTTGCCACCAGCTGCTAGTATTCCTACAAGTGCCTTGCTCAGTAAGGGCACCTATGAGACTCGTAGTCCTATTGATAACCGCGGGGGGCCTACCCGTGGTGGTTCGAAGCAAGGGGGAGCCCCTTCTGACTCCAGTGGGGTAGTGTGTTATTACTGCAAAGAACCGGGGCATACAAAACGCACATGTCGAAAACTTCAGAATAAACAGCAACGGAATAACTCTGCCCACGTGGCTACACAAGCCAGTGACACAGTCACGATTTCTGCTGCTGAGTATGCCCAGTTAAAATCTACTACACCGTCTGTGAGTGCCGCAGCTACAACAGGTAATAATGCTACTGCCCTTGCTTCTTCTTCCTCAAAGTGGATCATAGATTCCGGGGCTACTGATCATATGACAGGTAACAGCCATCTCTTCTCCTCTTATAATGCTTTTGCCAATCCGTCAAGTGTTTCCATCGCTGATGGTTCCCAGTCTCAAGTTCTCGGTTCTGGCACTGTTAATCCCACACCCTCTATCCGTTTGTCATCTGTGCTAAATGTTCCTAAACTTGCTTTTAATCTCCTATCTCCCAGTAAACTCACCCGTCAACTAAACTGTTGGGTCTCACTTTTTCCTTCTCATTGCTTGATACAGGATCTTTTGACGAGGCGGATTATTGGTAGAGGTTATGAATCTGGCGGGCACTATATACTGGATGATCGGGTGTCTCATGCGGTAGCTTGCGCTAGCAGTCATTCTCCCTTTGAAGTTCATTGTCGATTGGGTCATTTGTCTCTATCTTCTCTTAAGAAAGTTTATCCTCAATTTCAGCATTTGTCGTCTTTAGATTGTGAGTCATGTCAGTTTGCCAAGCATCATCGTCTTCCTTTAGTGTCTCGTGTCAATAAACGGGTTTCATCCCCTTTTGAGTTAGTCCATTCTGATGTTTGGGGTCCTTGTCCTGTAGAGTCCAAAGCAGGGTTTAAATACTTTGTTACATTTGTTGATGATTATTCCCGGACAACTTGGTTATATTTAATGAAACATCGTTCTGAATTGTTTTCCCATTTTTGTGCCTTTTGTGCTGAGATTAAAACTCAATTTAATGTTTCTATTCGCACCTTACGAAGTGATAATGCTAAAGAATATCTCTCTGCTTCGTTCCAATCTTACATGCTTCAAAATGGTATACTTCATCAGTCGTCTTGTGTCGATACACCAGCTCAAAATGGTGTTGCAGAAAGAAAAAATCGCCACCTACTTGAGGTGGCCCGTGCACTTTTGTTTCAAATGCAGGTTCCTAAACCATTTTGGGCTGACGCGGTCTCCACTGTCTGCTTCCTTATTAATCGAATGCCTTCCTCTGTTCTTGATGGTAACTCTCCTTTTTCTACCCTCTTTCCTTCTAAGCCTTTGTTCCCTATTGCTCCTAAGATATTTGGGTGTGTCTGTTTTGTGCGGGATGTACGTCCATCTATTTCAAAGTTAGACCCAAAGTCTCTTAAATGTGTCTTCCTTGGATACTCTCGGGTCCAAAAAGGTTATCGTTGTTTCTCACCTACTCTCAATCGTTATTTAGTATCTGCAGATGTCACCTTTCAGGAGTCCACACCATATTTCTCGCATTCTTCCCCACCTGCTCCACCTGCGGAGGAGGATGACCTTCTAATATACTCTGTCACCTCACCATCACTGTCGTCGCAAGCACCCGCTCCCGCACTCGTTCAACCTTTGATCGTGTGTATACACGACGGTCAACGGAGATTACTACCGCCACGCCAGCTTCTATTCCTCCCTGGTCCGCCTCGCCCTCAGATCCTGAGTTGAGCAACACTGAACCTCGTTCTGACCCTAATCCTGAGACACCTCCTGTTCCAGACCCGGATGCCTCTCTTGATCTACCCATTGCCCTTCGCAAAGGTAAACGTACTTGTGCCCATCCTATTTCGTCCTTTGTTTCATATGACCGCTTGTCTCCTGTGTCCAGTTCCTTTGTTGCCTCCCTAGATACTATCTCTGTGCCCAGAACTATTCGTGAAGCCTTGGCCCACTCAGGTTGGCGTGCTGCAATGGAAGAGGAGATGGCGGCCCTTGATCGAGCTGGTACATGGACCCTGGTCGATTTACCGGCGGGTAAAAAGGCCATTGGATGTAAATGGGTGTTAACTCCGAAAACTAAGGCTGACGGCACACTTGACCGCCTTAAGGCTCGCCTTGTGGCTAAAGGTTATGCACAAACCTATGGCATTGACTATTCCGAAACCTTTTCTCCTGTTGCTAAGCTCTCATCTGTCCGTCTGTTCATCTCTCTGGCTGCTACTTATGATTGGGATCTACATCAATTAGACATTAAAAATGCATTCTTACATGGTGATCTTCATGAAGAGGTCTATATGGAGCAACCACCTGGGTTCGTTGCTCAGGGGGAGCATGGGAAAGTATGTCGCCTTAAGAGGTCCTTGTATGGTTTGAAGCAAAGCCCTCGTGCATGGTTTGACCGGTTCAGTACTGTCGTACAGAAATTTGGCATGAGCCAAAGCAAGTGCGATCATTCTGTATTTTATCAAAGAACAGCGGCTGGCATGATTCTCTTGGTGGTATATGTAGATGACATTGTGATCACAGGCAGTAATGGTTCGGGCATCTCGTCCCTCAAGTCCTTTCTTAATTCCCACTTTCAGACGAAGGATCTGGGCTCTCTGACATACTTTCTAGGTATTGAAGTTATGCGAAGCAAGAAGGGCATATTACTGACACAGCGCAAATATGTTCTTGACCTCCTGAAGGAAACTGGAAAGTTGGGAGCAGCACCGACTAAGTTTCCTATGGTTCACAACCCACTCCTTGACGCTGATGGGAGCATACCACTCGATGATTCTCTTGATGATGAGAAACGGATGCTTGAGGCTCAGAAGAGCAAACCATTTGAGAATCCTGAGAGGTACAGGAGAATGATTGGCAAGTTAAACTATCTCACTGTAACTCGTCCGGATATTACTTATCCAGTCAGTGTACTAAGCCAGTTCATGGCATCCCCGACTGTCAGACAGTGGGAAGCCTTGGAGCACGTGTTACATTATTTGAAGGGATGTCCAGGTCGTGGGATATTATACAAAAATCATGGCCATACAGACATTGAGTGCTTCTGTGATGCGGATCATGGTGGATCAAAGGCCACGAGACGGTCTACTACAGGATACTGTGTCTTTGTGGGCGGGAATCTGGTGTCCTGGAAAAGCAAGAAACAAAATGTGGTGTCCAGATCGAGCGCAGAGGCAGAATACCGAGCTATGGCACAGTCTGTATGTGAGATAATCTGGATATATCAGCTATTAAAGGAAGTTGGCCTCAAAACCACTTTGCCAGCAAAGTTGTGGTGTGACAATAAGGCTGCCCTACATATAGCCTCCAATTCTGTGTTCCATGAACGTACCAAACATATTGAGATTGATTGTCATTTTATCAGAGACAAGCTTAAGGAGAACTTCATCTCCACTGGATATGTGCGTTCTAGTGATCAATTAGGCGACCTTCTCACTAAAGCTCTAAATGGGACTCGTGTTGACTATCTGTGTGACAAGTTGGGCATGCTTAACATTTATGCTCCAACTTGAGGGGAGTGTAGAAATATGATATGATTTGATATGATTTGATATGTAAATATTATGTAATTATGATTAGGATTTGATAGGATATGATATTATCATAATGAGCCATTAATGCAGAGGCTCCTCTCACTTGTATATATATGTGTATACTCTGATCAATGAAATACAAGAGAATTATTTTCCATATTATTCTATTTCCTACAATCTTCAAAATTTGCCAAACGAAGAGATTTGAGTTTGTTGAAGTGTTTTCGTGAAAAGTGCCCTTGTAATATCATGCTTGCATCCTCATTATTTAGGGCCAAAGTCTCCAAGTTGCAAATTACCTGTATATGGCATAAACGAAAAAGCATTGGATCCAAAGCAATGTAACTAAGCAGATGCAATAGTGATGCAAGAAGCGAGTAACGAATGCACGCATAATAAAACCTAATTAACTTTTTTGAATACATAAAATTATTGTGCATGCAATGAGATATTTATGGTGCCTAAATAAATTAAGGTTTTTATGTAATAATTCTTATACCTCTTCAAGTGCAAAAAGAGGCTGCTGCATTGAGATTTGGAGTTTACTATGAAAAGCTTTTTCTCTGCCACTTGAACTTTGTGTCTTGAAGAGCTTCAGTTTCCTACATTGACGAATGTCTATTACACTTAATAATGGATGTAGTAAACTATGATTTCCAATAAAAAATCCCTCTAGTTGAAATAAACCCCAAAACACCAATAAGATCAACTGATTAAACGCAAATTTGACAGGACTGTCCATGGGTCCTTCG